TATATTTAGAAGGAGAGAATTAGGAAAGAGAAAAATAATATAACTGAAGTGATAGGTAGAAAGAAATTAAAAAAAAATTATAAATTCAATTAATATATTGGTTTTTTTTATTTTGTTTCAATTTCTTCTTTTAAATTTGTTTTATTTTGACCTTTTAACTTAAAAATTTATTTTAAATAAGTTCTGTCTATGAAAGCACGAAAAAATTATTGTTTATCTTTTTTTTTTTTTTTTTTTTGGTAAACTCCTATGAGTTTTGACAAATTTTCTAGTTGCCTCTTTTATTTTTTTATCTTTCTTCTTTTACCTTTTATCTTTATGCTTCTATTGCCTCTCACAAATTAATCACCTCAACGATTCAACAATACATTAGTACCCCTATGAGGTATAACGAAAGACCTTCATAACATGTAATGTTTATTCCCTGCAAATTCTTTCAACATCGTACTCGTCACTTCTACGGGTATATCAATTTTTCTTATTTAAAATCAAGGTTTTAAATTTTATTAATTAGGGCATTGATTTATTTAAAAAAAACAAAAAATATGCATAAATAATAATAAGTACTTGAACATGTAATTGGAAACCTCCTATTTGTTAATAGAAATGTTGACTCACTTTCAAAATAGATATATCATATAATCTCTCTAATGAGTTGATAGAACGTAATAAAATATTTATATTATCTTACCTTCTTAAAAGAAATTGAAATTGAACGGGAATTATTTTTGAATATTTTGAGAAATGCAAGAGAAGAGATACAAACATGCTTTGAGAAATCAAAAGTGAAATATTTTAGTGGTGGATAGATAGATTAATACTTCTTTTACACTCACCAATATTCTTCGAGACTTCTTTATACCTAATATAATTGATGAATCCAAATTCAACTGAAAAACTAACTATAAATTTATTTTTTTTAAGTTCAAAAGAGGAAAAGGTATGGTTAAGAAAGAAAAAAATATTTTTGTTAGAGTTTGAAGAGCAAGGAAAATATATTTGTAAAGGTGTGAACGAGAGATAAGAGATAGAAAAAAAAAAACAATTAAAAAGTTCACCAAAATATAATATATTGTGATTTTGCTAGAATTCATATAGACTTATTTAAAACATTTTTATAAATTAAAAAACTAAAATAAAAAAATAAAAGTCAGAGAATAAAGTCAAAATAAAATAAAGAGTTAATAGACTAATCTACTAATTTAGTAAAATATGGAAGAGGTTAAATTAATCTTAGTTGTATTTAAATATAAAAATAATAATTTTTAATATGTGTTTAATAGTATATAATTAAAAAATAATATTTTTTTATAAAATATAATATTTAATGTTATGAATACATTAGATCATATGATTTTTATAATTTTTAATAAAAATTAACTACACATAAGTTTTCATTGTGTGTTTTTAAATAAATATAAAACAAAAATTACAATTGTCAAATTGAGAGGTCACGTAGGAAGTACAAAAATGAGTTATATATACACAATTTTATGAAAAAAATTTAAAAAATAAATAATTATTTCTCTAAAATAATTAAAAAAAAATTATTTATAATCTTAAGTATAATTTTTTAAAAATTTTGAAAATCATAACTCACTCATTTTGAAGACTATGACTAGGTTTAGTAAAAGTAGCTTGTAACTTATTTAAAAATCTGTAGCATATTAACTTAGTCAATAGAACTCTTTAGTAAATACAAAATAAAAAAAATTTAATTTTTAAAAATTAATTTTTTAAAAGCTATCTAAAGTAACATTTAATTTTCAAAAGCCAGTTAATGATATTTTTTTTATATTTTTACTCTTTATTTTTTTTAAAAAGTTAACTTATTTATTATACAATTAAAACATGATATTTTATCTTTTTTTCTTCGAATTTATAATAGTTTCATTCATTTTTTCTTTTCTATGTTTTTTTATTTCTCCTCTATTTTTCTGTCTAAATGTATTTCATATTATAAAAAATGCACAATTTAAGATATTTTATGTTCAAATATATATAAATTTTTTTTATCTTCTGTATAATTTTTTAATTAATTGATTGTAAATAAATAAAGTAAGTGACAATTAATTTTAATATTATGTTAAAATAATATTATATAAAGTTAACTAATTTGCCAAACAAATTTGATTGTATAAATTACTTATTTAATTATAAGCTTTTCGCTATAAATTCAAAGCTTTCAAGCTAGTTTTATAGTTAGAAATTAAAAGCTCACAAATTTGATAGGTAACCTAGTTTAGTAATAAGTCAATAAACTAGTAGAGATATTTGATAAATACAAAATGAAATAAGTTGCTTTCGAAAAATAATTTTTCAAATTTTTTTTAAAAGAACATTTATTTTTTAAACTAATATTTTTATTACATTTTGACCCTTTATTTTGACAACTTATCTTTCATACAATTAAAACTTTACTATATTAATCTCATTATTATTATTTTTTCTTTATGTTCACAGTAATTTTTTTTATTTTTTTATCTTTTTATTATTAGTAATGAATAGTATATTTTGTTGGATAAAAATAAATCAAGTAGATAAATTATACTTTTAAAATTAATAAAATAAAAATAAATTATTTAAATTAATTCATGTAATTTTTATTCATATAAAATATTATATAAATAAAATGTTACTCAACTAATTTGCTAAATAATTTAATTTTATAACCTACTTAGATAGTTATAAATTTTTTAACTAATTTCACGGTTAAAAGATATATATATATATATATATATATATATATATATTCATTTGTTCTGAATGGTAGTTAAACTGGTAGTTTAAAAAATTTGACCTTGTTATAACCACCCCGTACTTGGAAAATGTCAACCTCACTGTAAACTTGTCTCAGTTTAGAATACAAAGGAAAACGAAATAGATGTGCCACGCTGAGTTGCTACCAAGAAAACAAAATCGAAATCACCAAATTTCTCAACTTTCAAAATATAAACAAAATGAATGTGTGTTAGTTGAACAGGTAACAGAAAAATAAACAGAGTGTAACTTTATTGGTAAGAGTTGAATGGGGGCAGCGCTGGATAGAATCGAATAATAGTCGTCAAACTCATTAAACTTCAAAGGAAAGGCACTTCCCGTGATTAGCGCGCATCTTCCACGTACGCTTCCATCTTTCCTTATTTTATTTATTTTTAGTTCTTCTCCCTTCTCTTTATTCTTACGCCTTCTTTCTGCAATCCCTTACCGTGAAATCAGCAGTAAACTGTGACATTTGTGTTCTTTGTTTTCAAATATTAGCAATAACACATTCTTTTACTCATATTCTTTAATATATGTTTTCAAATATTCCACTCATAATAAATAGATTCAAAAGTGGATGGATGACATGAAAAATACTACTACTAATAATAATGTATTTTTAATACACTCTTTATTATTAAATAATTTAATTAAAACTATAAAAATTATGTATATATATTTTATGTTACAAAAATTGTTAAAAATATATTACTATTTCCTAACATTAACATTTTATTCTGTTTATCCAAATTTGTACGGCCCCAACTCTCCGGGATCTTCTTCTATCTTTGCCCCCACACCCTTGTCACGTGGTCCCCTTCGTTACCCACCACTCTACTATATTATTCTCTCTTCAGTTATGTTATTCCTGCTATGGAATTAAACATTGAGCTAAATCATTTCTTTTTATCATTTTCTCATTTCATTTTATTTCAATGCCACACTTTTATGCTTTCCTTTCATGTAATCTGTCACATGACATACGCATCTCTACCTGTGAACTATAGTTTTTGGGTCATGTGCTCTTGTTCCATTATCTAAACTATTGTACATATATACTTTACAACAAGTATAAATAATATTATCGTTAATTGCATATTAGTATATGTTTTTTCGGGTAAGCTTTATTACTTACTAGTTTTTCACAATGTAGCGATGATAACTTAAAACATAATCAATTGAATTATGAAGTAAGAAAATAACACATTCCCAATTGGACACGCAATAATATGCGAAAACAGTTAAGCAGCATTAACGCCAAAACAAAATCGAACTTTTTATAAAAAATATATATTATCTGATAAGCATATAAGAATGCAATTGCGTCACTGTGAGGTTTTTCAGCGCTTAAAATTTTTTGATCTATTTATGTAAACATAAGTGTCTCAGACTATTCTCCCAAATAATTTTTGTTTAGGAAATACTCAAAATAAGGAATCATACGAAAGTAAAATGATACAGTTTAAGGGTTCCTTTGGTTAAAGTTTTTTTAGTAAAAAAAAAAAAAACCTTTTTAAAATAATTAATTTTCAGTTCTTTTAATTATTTGTTTAAGATTATAAAAAAAAATTGAAGTTGGAAAAATGATTTTATATTTTAAATAATTTTTAGAAAAAATAAAATTCAACTATCTACTAAAATTAAAAGTACTTTTATAATTTTAACTAAATAAAAAATATGCTTTTATAAATTATTTTTTATAAAACTTAATACAAATAGTTAAATTACACAATAGAAAATTAAAATTGGGACAAGAGAAAGAATGATTAAATCACAATAATTTTGTAGGCACAAATTAAAAACCGTTTAATTTAGTTGGGCAATGACTGGTGGATAAAGTGAAAAAATGTAAAAAAGAGAAAGTGGTGTATGGTTGTCTAAGATTTTAGATCTTAGTATTAGTAGTAGTAGACCCTGCCACGGCACGTGACAGGTTCTGCGCCCACGTGCGAGAGAGAGTGAGTGAAGAAGCGGTTAGTTTTGTGGGTAAAAAAAAAAAAGTGAGAGTTAGGGTTGGATGGTGGTTAACGAAATAGAAGAAGAAAAAGCAAAAGCCAAAAGCAAAGACTTTGTTAGTTAACGGCGTGAGAAGGAGGCGAAGACCCAAACAAGAAAAACGATCAGTTAATTAACGACGTTAAGGGTTGGCGTTTATGGGTTTTTGGTGTCTATATAAAGGCCGTTATGTTGGAACCTGTTTTTCTGAGTACACTCCACCAATTCTCTCTCTCTCTCTCTCTCTTATCTCTTTCTCTCTCTTCAGCGTCAACATTCTCATTCCCATCAAAGCAAGGTACTCAAGTTTCAGCAATGGCGGTTTCTACGAAATGGGTCCTCGGTGCATGTTCTTTGTGGCTTCTGGTGCTGTTCATTGGAGAAGAAGCCATGGCCGCACCACAGATCTCTCTGCTCAGGTCCATACACACTCTGTTTCAGTGTGTGAAGCAATATTTTTATGCTTTGTCTGTGTTGGGTTTCTTGCTTTTCAGCTGCATTGGGTGGTTTCCGAAATCGAAATAAAAAAAATAAAAAAGAAAGAAATTGCATCATTGCTAGCATTTTTTTTTTCACTTTCGGATTCCAATTTCAAAGCCAATTTTCCTTCTCTTGCAAATCACTGAAGTGGGATTTCACATCGAAATGTAGTTATTTAAAGTGAGAAAAAATGGTTCTTAGAAACGACAACATCTGAGAAAACAATCTAGGATCTTAAATTGACGCATTTTACATTCATGTTGCCCTATGTCATTTGGAGCCACACATTGTGATTTATTTGAGTTTTGAAACAAAAGTGGTGGGAAAACAAAATCTGTATCACTGAAGCACACAATTTTTTGAGTTTCGTCTGGTTCAATAATTCACTTCAATAGTTATGTGCTGAAACAAAGAGAGACGAAGATCTTGCTCTGACACAATTTTCTATTTTTTGTTTAATTGGTTACAGAAATGTTGAAGTTGAAAAACACAGGTTGCCGAGCTTGAAGAACTCATCAATGGTGGCGAGGTTAGTTAGAGTCCTTTTCCAACGTTAAAATTCTTCACCTTCCTCCTTAAAATGACGCCGGTTATTCTCGACCGTGCATTCTAACTTTTAGTCTTGACCGTTGGATTAAGTAACCGAAACTAACGATCACAGCCGTTGATGCTCTCGATCTGGATCGTTTATTCAGTTATTTTTTTCTTCGGATTCCTTTGCTCTGCCCCCTCCTCTCTGTTTTTGCGTTTGTCGTGTGTTCTGCAAAAGCAATATAACTCCCCACACCAAGAAATAAAAGAGTTAGTTAACCGTCAACAGACTTTTTTTACTCCCTAAATTACCCTCCAGAGTGTGCTCGGCATTTATTACCCGTCGGGGTATTTTCGTCATTTGAATTGAGGGGATAAATCTTTTCTTTCCCTCTCCTGAATTTTAACGGTTTTAATTTCTCTTTTACTTTCTACGGTGTATTATACTTGGCGAGCGCGCTCGGTCTCCCTGACACGTGTCGGTGTGTAATTTTCCTCTTCTTTTCCCCTTTTCACTTTTTTTCTTTATCAAATTTCATTTCAAACATTGTAAAATATTATATGGTTATTTGCTTTCGGGTAAATAACTTGTTTTTCTTTTTGTATTTATTAAATTTTTTATGTATGTAGTACAGAAAGGAAAATAGTTAGTAAGTCGCGGTTGCCGACTTTAATTCTTACGCGTGTCTCGTGTCGAATTAAACCTACCTAGTGAAATTATAAATAGAATATTAAATTAATGATTTCACTATACTGATTAAAAAATTAATAATATTTTTAATTCTTTAATTACATCGGTTAACATTAAATTTATTTATTCATCGTGATAATGATCTTGAGTTGTAACTGTTTCTTTCAGGGCAGAAGAGGCTGAGAGATTAAATGGACGTGCTGCAGTGGCAAACCCAGAGGAGGTGGTTTCCATGGTTGAAATGTGGGTCCCTATCTTTCTCCATTTTCACCATAGACAATCCTCGTTCCAATTGTCCATTCATAGCTAAGCAAATAAATTAAAGCAAAAGAGAGAACTACGTGCACCTATAATGATCTATAATATGTATTATTATTATATTCACATGGCTTAGGGACTACATGTGTAATTGGGTAGGGCATAGCGGTGTGCCCTTAGCATTGGTGGCCCTCATTACTATCCCTTGAGAAGTGAGACCTAACTTTACCCCAACTGACCCATTTTTCTGTGTCACATCTTTCCTTTTTCGCCATAGTTGAATCAATTTGAATTTTTGAGGACTTAACCTTTTTTTTCTTTTCTACCCTTTTGACATGTCAAGTTGGAAACATTACATTGTCACTAACCAGCCATATTCTTGGTCACTCTCCTTTTCATGCCTCGGTCACATGCACTTTCTGATGATACCCTTATTTCACGCTCACAATTATTTTGCATGTCATTTTAAACTTAATCCTTTGACTATGAGTAAGTGTTTCCCTACAATTGTGTCGTACTTACGGGTACAACTCTTTTTCTGCCGTATTACATCATTATAAACAATATCTTCTAGCATTTTCTGCTTTGTTTGACCATCATTTTTTGGTGCTTGAAATGTGACTGAGTCTTGTGAGTAAATTTTTTTTTTTACAATGTGTGATTGATTCCTTTAAAACGTGGCAACATAGCATATTAGGGTCAAGATCCATGTCATGACAGAAAAGCATATTTACCATATCTTCTATTCCAGAAAAGGCCAAGAAAATTTAGCCGTTACACTTGAGAAAATTCCTTTTGTCTTCACTCACACATGGATAAACAATATTTTGGCATTGTTTGTTGCTTCTTCAAAACTCAAAAAGACTAGTAAATTTTTTTTAATCTTGGGTAGAGTCTAAGGTCCTTATTTTATTCATGTTAGCTGACTCTACCTATTAGAAATTAGGCCTAATTGTTTCCTACCCTCAACAAAAGCTATAACTTTTCATTTTTAGTTTGCATTCCACTCATGAAACCATTACACAATTTGCTAGCTAAATGTGTGCAATGTTGGATGGAATTAAAATTGGATGAGAACTCTCAGAAATTGACAATTGTTTAGTTTGACTGGACATGTATAACACCGATATACTTGAAATTACAGGAGCATTAAGAACAGCACAGAGAGAAGGAAGCTGGGATTTTTCTCCTGTGGAACAGGAAACCCAATTGATGATTGCTGGCGTTGTGACCCCAATTGGCAGCGGAACCGGAAGCGTCTTGCAGATTGTGGCATTGGTTTTGGAAGAAATGCAATTGGCGGTCGTGATGGAAAGTACTATGTGGTGACGGACCCAAGAGATGATGACCCTGTTAACCCAAAACCAGGAACTTTGCGCCATGCTGTGATCCAGGACAAGCCTCTGTGGATTGTGTTCAAGAGGGACATGGTTATTCAGCTGAAGCAGGAGCTGATTATGAACAGCTTCAAGACCATTGATGGGAGAGGAGTGAATGTGCACATTGCTAATGGGGCATGCATAACAATTCAGTATGTTACCAATGTCATCATACATGGCTTGCACATCCATGATTGCAAACCCACCGGGAATGCCATGGTGAGGAGCTCCCCTAGTCACTTTGGGTGGAGGACAATGGCTGATGGTGATGCCATCTCCATATTTGGCTCAAGCCACATTTGGGTTGATCACAACTCCTTGTCCCATTGTGCTGATGGCCTTGTGGATGCTGTCATGGGCTCAACAGCCATAACAATTTCTAACAACCACTTTACCCACCACAATGAGGTACTTTCACTGCATTCTCCTGTGTCAAGTTGCACTTTTTTTCTTGTTGGATAATGATTTAAGCTGTTATTTTTATTTGCTTGCAAATTCAGGTGATTCTTCTGGGCCACAGTGACTCCTACACAAGGGACAAGCAAATGCAAGTCACCATTGCATACAACCATTTTGGAGAGGGACTTATCCAGAGAATGCCACGGTAATATTTAATGTCACTTTTTGCATTGAAACCAACCCCCCTTTGTTTCCCTTTCACTTTGTATGCCTTAAATGCAAATAAATGTTACCATGAGATAGGTAGGTTGGTTTGGAGTAGCAGCAACCCTCTTTTGGTGCATTAATTTTTGTTCTGAGCTTCCTCCTCTACTTTAAGGATATCACAAGTTTCATAATGTGTTAAGATAATTAATTGCAGTTTGTAGGGGAGGGGACCAGATGGGTATTTTCATTTGCTGAAATCAACAACTGGATAGGGCTCTTTTGTCCCCTCCTCTCCTCTACTAGAGTATATGGCTAACTTTGAAGAGGTTTTTGTAGACCGGAGAAAAAAATAACAAGATAAAATAAATACATATTTTTATAAGTTAATTTATACTGTTTTATTTTTAAAATAAATTTCTTTAAATTATGTTGCGCAGGTTAATTTTAATTTATGTTGAAAAATTTGTTTATTTTATATTCTTATTTGCTCTTCTATCGGCAAAATTTGGCCCAAACTCGGCCTATATCTCAAACCAGTGATCGAATATGAACTAATCTAACAAAAAATGGTCATGACTTACAATGCAGGTGTAGACATGGATATTTCCACGTGGTGAACAATGACTACACTCATTGGGAGATGTATGCTATTGGTGGAAGTGCTAACCCCACCATTAACAGCCAGGGCAACCGGTACAATGCTCCTGTGAACCCTTTTGCCAAGGAGGTACAACAGTACAATTAGTCCATGTGCTTCTGCTAATCACGTTTTAAAGGAAGTTTCACATTGAATTTTGGTGATTGATAGAGAGAAAAAACATTTTTATTTTCTGGCAGGTAACTAAGAGAGTGGAAACGGCTGAAACTGAATGGAAGGGTTGGAATTGGAGGTCAGAGGGAGATTTGTTGCTGAATGGTGCTTACTTCACCCCATCAGGAGCTGGAGCTTCAGCCAGCTATGCCAGGGCCTCTAGCTTAGGAGCAAAATCTTCTTCCATGGTGGGTTCCATGACTTCCAATGCTGGTGCACTTGGTTGCCGTAGAGGCCGCCAGTGCTAGCATTCATATCTCAAGTCATGTGAATCAAATACCCATTAATTTCTTTGTGCTTTGATTTTCAGTTTTTACCATATTATAGTATCATAGTATCCATTCCATTGCTTTCCCCACACGTTCCATCCTGCATTCTTGACAAGTGTACATTAATTACACATGTCAATATATAATGTTTATGTTACCCATTACCACATTGTGTGTTTATTGTTGGTCAACCTTAGCTGCTCGACTTGCTCCAGCTGAAACAAACAATGCAATTGTAGGAGCAGGTGCAGAAGCGCGGTCCATTGTTTTCCTTTTACTTTTTCTTTGCTTTGGTCCTTACCCACCAATTCATATGCATATTTTTCCAAATGTCAAATCATGTCTCCTTACATACTGTTCAGTCTTTTTCAGTTTTATAGGATTTGAATGAGCAAAACAAAAAATATTTTTTATTTTACTCATCTTTTGTTATTTCTTTTACTCCTTGTTTTGTTGAGTTAATTATACAAGCTGCAAGAGCATGATTGTCAAAGTTGAGTTATATGGAAACACTTTATCAATGGCGATTATGGAATAGCAAATAGCAGTGGTGTTGCTTTTTAACTTTCTCACCCTTTTAGCCTTTTTTCCCCCTTGTCAAATGGAAGTAATCTTTGCTTTTTTGTTATGCGATTATGGTTGTAAATCATTAAACATATCTGCCAGTGTTCGTTTCTCTACCAACATGTGTGATTCGTTCATGTGCAGCACATGATCCTCCGTCATTATCTTTCTAATTAACATCATGACCCCTTTTACCTACGTTGTCCCCCCACAAAATGATGTAACGCTAACCAGCTATTACTTAGAGATTTATTTCACTGGCTTTCACTCTATCATGGTTGAAAATTATGAACAAGACATGTAATGATTTCAAGTATGGTTCACAGTTAGTTTTGTTTCCCAGCAAAGCGTGTCTCTAAAGGAATGCATGTGTAACAATTAAAGTCTATAGAATTAATTGGGGTAAGCTACCCTCCACAAAAGTTACTGTGCAACTAGAGATATGAGTGTATCACGGGTCAACCAGTAACTACTTTTTTGACTTAAACATGAACTTTTACTATGAATGCCACTTAATGGAAAATGTTGTTTGTATCACTAAAATGGATAAAAAATAAGTGAGATAGAAATAATGATATATTGTGTCTCGTATAGTGTTGAAAATTAGTAGTTTAAATTATAAAATGATTTCTAAATGTCCAAAGGAACATGTAAATTCAAATGACCTACTCATGAAGCATGGCTCAGTTGGTAACACGGGTTGAAATTGTAGGAATAGCCAAAGGGAAGGATGAAAAGCTTTATCCGGAATAATGGGCACTTGATACAGTGACTGAATACTAAATAGTGTGAACCAAATAAATTCTGATGACCTAACAAAAATGTCTCCGTCTTTCTTCTGCCCTGTCACAACTAGTTAGGGGTACTTAGTAAATGCCTGCGGAGAGAGCAATGGACAGGGCTAAACAGAGACACTCATGAATGGTCAATGCTTAATGCACATGTTTAGATTTGTAATAAAGGCTATACCGCTTATGCATGTGAGATAGGGCCCATAAGGCATGTGGGTAGTTCATCGCCAAGATTGGGTTACAGATCATATGGGATTTCAGTTTGGAGAATTGTCCATTCACTTTCCTAAGGTGCACTTTTTCCATGGAAAATTGCCACCTATACCACTCACATAACATTGCATTTACAACTATGGCTATTACACCATCCAAAAGTTTAACTTGGTTAATTAAGATAAAGCAGTGCGCTAGTTGTGACTGAAATTTCATTTAAACTAAATAGCACCATTGCATCTAATGACTTAAACATTGGTCTTGGTATGTGGAGAACCCTTTCATGAATTTGTTACTCCAACGTTGCTATTTAAATTAAGCATTTAGGTCCATTGTTGCTCCAAGATTGCCATGGGTTAGAGGGACCAGCTCTCGTTAGGGTAAGAAAGGAAGAACAGAATGTCTCAATTTTGTGTCTTTAATTTTCTATTGGAATAGAATCTAACAAATGTTTGACTAAACATTGACAAAAAGAAAAAAAAAATCTATTACACTTTTTCTCCCTTAACGCGTGCAATAATTTGGTACCGGGTAACCAAATACAGCTATTGTTGTAACTCAAGATTGATTTTGACGTTCCAAAATGTCTCAAAATACATTTTAAGCAATCAATAAAGATGGGGTGGAAACATAGAGGAAACTTTGTCTGGTGAAAATGGTACGGGTACGTAGATAAAAAATTAAGTCATGAGCATGATGCTTATTTGGTAAAATTTGAGGCCAAGGTCAGAAAGAGAATAATAGAGGGGTTAATCTAATTTTGTTGCACCGACAATGGTTAATGGGTTGTCTTGGTCCTATTGGTCCCCACAAGCAAAAGCTTCAATCAGCACAGCACAACACACGGTAGAACCATCAAAAGGTCAAGTCCGTCACAGACCCACTTCAGAAATTTGTTGAGAACCTTTTCAGATTTCTTGAATGTGTCCATATATATTTTTTTTTGGGCATATACCCTTCACTATTTTAATTACATGCTAGACAACTTTGTGAGTGGCGAATGAACATTTTAGGCACAGTTGAAACAATCATAATGATCCCATAAGATCCAACAGGGACCCCGCTAAGCAAGATTTTGTTTTGGAATTCCAAGAAATAGCATTTTACAAATGATAACTAATTATTAGTGTTATTATTCAGAGATGGAGTTGGATCTGACTATGTGAAACATACGGTTTGTAACGGTTGGTCTCATGGTCTTGAATAATTGCAACTATATTAATTTGGTTATCAGCAATGATTCCATTGAAGTAATTTTGAGATCGCATGGGGTATACCTTTGAGGGTGCAAATGGGCTTTAAAAAGTAGTTTGAACTGTTCGATTTTAATGTGTTTCTATGCCATGCCCCTACTAGGCCTTTATGAAAGAGCCTAGTTGAATGCATACTGAATAATCAATATATTTCGGTTCAATTCATACTTACAAATAATCTCTAAACTGCATCATAATTTCAATAGATTGCGATTCGGTTTAGAATCAATCCGTACTATGCCCACCCTACAAAAAAACATTGCAGGAGGAGCTTGAAATGTTAACATAGGGACTATATGAGTATGACACAACTAGTTAGAACCCACACAAACAATAGTGTGCAATGTTGCATAGCTACGGGTATGAATTCTGTATAAGAGTGTCAATGAACACTTTTCTTTAGTGCTACATACGGATATGCTAAAGTTTATTTATTTTTTCTTTTAAATTTATGATGCATAGGATATATTAAAGTTATTATTATTATTTTATTAAAAGGGTGAGAAGAGACTGATCTTATTTGATCCAATTTATAATACTTGTTTTGCATCGTAATTATCACTAAAATCGTAATCATTTTTCTAACATGTACCTAGGTATAAAATAATTTTTTTTAACCTCAACTCTAAAAGTTAAGAGTTAAGAATAAACAATTAATAATAATAAAATTTTATTAGAAAAAGAAGTATTTATTATAGTTTTATAATTTTAATACAATAACTGTGTATTATTTTATAAAAAAATTGTATTTGTGGATGCTGAAACTCAATTTTAAAAACTGAAATGAACAAAACCCTAAAAATATATGTATAATAAATTTGTATTCAAAATAATAGGATATAATAAAATTTTATGAGTTAATAATATTTGTTAATTTTAAAATATTTTCTAAGCCATAAATTAGAAAAACCGAATCGTAATATAGAACGAGCAATATCTAACTATTTGAGAAAGAAACACAAGTACAGTCAATTTGTCATTAAGCTGATGAAATTCCACGAAACTGCAACCTGTTCTTCAAAATAACAATACCGACAAAACATGTTTTTCCCTACCGTTGCAATGCTGCCAGTAAATCTGAATTTCAGGTCCCACCATCCTCTGCATCGTTTCTCGACCGACATTAGCCAAAACAAATAAGATGAAGAAAAATAATCTGACAGAGTACATATGACAATTGAATTACAAGCAATTTTAGGCCTGTTTATAATTTGGATTTTGTAAAATGTTAAAACCCAACCAAACCAGTTAAATTGTAGTTTTGAACAACTAAATTGTTATTTTTTAAAATTAGTTTGGGTTTTATTTAACCGGTTTCAAAACCAGTTTGAGCTTAAACCAGTTTTTTTTTTTTTTCCAAAATTTTCAGTTTCTACGTATCTGCATTAAAATCAGTAATAAAAACTAGAATGTTAACAAATGGTTCTTAAAAGGATGAACTTTGCCTAGAGGTATCAAACTTAAATCTTAAACTACAAATCAAACTTTAATCATTTATGGTTGAAAACAATACAGTACTAAGCCCCTCTCCATAATTATAAGGTATATAAAGAAAATAAACAATGCAGTACATAAATAAAGGAACCTATTCGTACTCTTTTCTCAAAATTTGAATAGATAATAAATATAGGAGCATGCAATTGTTTCAAATTAAGTCTTACATAATGAATTACCCAAAAACACGTTAATGTCACTGGCACACTAGTTTCTTTATGTTCAAGTAAGTAAAAAACACGACAAACATCACCTAATCTTACATAGAAGGGGGAGGAGAGTGAAATATTCTAAAATTTATTTCTCTTCAAAATAGAACTAATAAACAGCCAAGGCTCGGGTGGCAATTTGTACAACTGGGAAAAACTTATCAACGAAAGAGTCAACATGAGAAGCCCATTCTTATCAGAGTCAAATACTCCCGCAAGTGTTTGTTCCAGAGGTGTGCAGAAGCATAAACAAAATAATTGTAAAGAATGATCAAAAGATGATCCACTCTATACTAAATAATAATTATATAAAAGCCAAGACTATCCCCTGACGGTTAGCTCTGTATTGTATCTCACTAGCAAAGCACTTAAGATTGCTTTTGTTTCTCTAATGGTTTAGGAGAGTAACAAAGAGCCTCATATATAAGTGCTCATGCTTCAATTTGACCATTACCTAACGAGAAATGCTCTCTCTACTTCTCCTAAAAATAGTCGCAAAATTCAAGCCACCCAATTTTTAACACCTTCTGATGTCATAGTCACCACCAATGAGGTGCACAATCCTCCTTATATACAGCTAGCTGAGGAAGACAAGATGAACAACAGAAGCCCTTCATCTTCTAAACCAGTATCCACTTCTTCACCAAAATCATCTCTACTTCTCTCAATTTCTAAGTCCAGCAATGCAAAAACTCCCAAAACGAAAGCTATTGGTACTCATGCCTACTTAACATATGATTAGTTATATGACACTTATCAAGTTCGCTCTATGTTACCAGCTATAAATTATACATTTAAGTGTGCTTTTTATTCTTTACATT